TCCCTAAACCCTTTTGAGTCAATGCCTCCAGGGTAGGGTCTCCCATTCTGTAGGTAGGGCCTAGATTGTGGGGGGCAGAGTCACAAAGCCAAATGAGGTACCCTAAATAATCCTTTAATTGCCTACATCCAACATTTAGAAGCCACTGCCATTCACAAACCCCCTACCCCCATCCTATCAGTATCTAAAGACCCTTGACACCTTTCAGCTTTTGCCAGCCAAATGCTAGAGGCCTATGGATTTGAAACACAGAACATCCTTTCCTGCTACTAACAAACTGGAGGGTATCACATAAGGATGGCCCAAAAAAGTCATCTTGCTTCCCTTCAAATACAAAACAAAACTATAAACTACTACAGGTTTTGCATCACCAGCACTTTTTAGTACTTTCATTCTGTAACAGACCTATCCCATTGTTCGGATTATATTTGTGCCTAAGAGGTGAACTCTGTTTCCTTAGTCTTACTGGGTACTGATTTCCCTCTGCTAGCAATCCACTTCATAGCTTCAAACACAGACTGCTAACCACTGTTCCCCACCCCTCCACATACCCCATTCATAACATATCAACTTAAAAAAAAGAAAAGAAAAATGCTGCTAACGGGTAGGTTTTGTGGCTTCATCTATCAAATGAACTCTTCAAGAGCAAGCAAATTTTAATTATTATCTCTAAGGTTTTTGTCCTAAATATTATCTCTTGTAAACATCCCATCTTTGGGAAATCAGTCTGCAAATAATAAAATACTAACCTGGTGTTTTGTCTCGTGTTTGTCCATAATTAATGCTTTTAAGCAACCGACGTCGTCGGAATCATGAATACATCATTTTCCTTTATAAAAAGATCCGAGTTACCTTGTCTTGTAACTTTCTATATAGAAAATTATACATTTTGTAAACTAATGATATTTTGTTACTGGCTGCATACGACCCCAGGATATGACCCTAAACTCAAGTCCGCAGAATGAAAGAAGTATTACAACCAGCGCTCAAAATGCAATTTATCCTGTTGCCCAGTCGGAGCTGGCTATTTGCAAGAGACCTCCAACACATGCACATAGACTCCATTTGTACAGTGATCTACATATATCCAAGGTCCTATGGTCTACGTTACCAATAATGTTAGGGTATAAACAAGCAATCAAACTGAGAAGTGTTTTAAGGGCAGGGACCTACAATAGGCGAGTGGATACCCAGCAACTTGTGTGCCTACAATTACACAGGTAGTGAAAATCACCCCTATATTGCTCTGGTTTACCTTTCACTTACCAGGGAGAAATTGGAAGTGCACAATTACCAGACACTAGGTGTTCTGTGGTAACCTTTTCTCCCGTTAGCTCTCTCAAATTTGATCATTTGCCTGTGCCCTTAAAAAACTAGAGTCTTTTCAGCGTTAACGAACTCCCACATGAGCTATCCTTCCTAAAGAGCCTATTTCAGATTTCAAATCCTATGAATCAAACAATCATAGTTTTGCAAAGGACCTCCAGGGTCACCTAGCCCAAGCCCCTGCACGAATGCAAAACGTGCTATTCTTGTACCATCCTAAATGTCTATCCAGCCTTTTCTTGAAGACTTCCAAAGGAGATTCAACAACTCCCCCGGGTAGCCCGCTCCACTGTCCTAGTGTTTGGACAGTAACGGTTTTTCTGCTATATAATCAAAATCTGCTTGAATGCAGTTTAAACCCACTGCTTTGTGTTCTGTCCTCTGTGACAAGGAAGAAGAGTTGTTCTTTCCTCTTCTTTACAGCAGCTGTTCAAACGTTTGAAAAGCCTGTTATATACCCACTTAATCTCCTTTTCACTAACCTAAATGCACCTATCTCTCTCAACCATTCCTCTCAGCTTGCATTTCAGCCTCTTTATCAGCTTTGTCATTCCTGGATCCTCTCCAGTTTCTCCACACCCATCTTAAATTGCAGGGCCCAGAACAGCACATGATACTAACTGAAGTCTAACCACTGCCGAGTACAGTAGTACTGAGGATAGCAGTACTATCACCTCCTGCCTTGCATACAATACTCCTGTTAAGGCAGCCTCAAACTGCAGTTGCATCCCTAGCTTCCTTCTTAATGAGACTTTTGAGTTCTTCTCATTACCCAGCCTCCTAGCCCTGGCAGGCAAGCGTTTTGAAGTATTCCCCTCCGATTCTTTGCATCTCAGCTCATTCTGTTCACAGCAACACCCTCCTCACTACTCCACCAAGTCTGCTAACAGGGAGGGTGGCATCTTGCACGGCTAATCTGTTACCTCGCAAACCTACACAGAGATTAAATGAAATGGTCATCAGAGAACAGTGTTCATTTGATGCTTTCCTTCAAGAGAATGTGTCCACTGCAGAATTAGCCTGAGCTAACCTACTACTTCTGACCAGGTGAGCACAGGTAAAACATCCCCATTTCAAAGCCCCACCTGTGTCAGACCTGTGTAGCTATGTCCACACTAACCTCTCTGCTAGAATAGAGTTCTCTTGGTTTCCATGGTTCTCAGAAACCTTTTGCACGGGGCTGCTCTATGATTGTATTTGCATAGTGCCCTCTCACCTTTCCTTAATATGGCCCCAACTCTGGCAGTAATGAAAATAAGACTGTGTCAACAAGATTGCAGAGGAATTTCACATTAAGGGAAGAAAGTGAAAGTAGATGGCATTTGGAAGCAAGTACTTTGACCTTAAAGAATTCAGTCTGTAATTCACAAAGCAATCTGCAGTCTGACTGATTTCTTTACCTTTCTGTTTCTTTCCTGTCCACTAAAAACACCACTTTGGATCTTATTAACGTCACGCTGGTGCTTTACAAGAAAGTTTCTGGCAAACTCACCACTCAAGAAAATTTTATTCAATGCCATCACCATTCAACTACTGTGGAAGTAGCATAGAACTGGAGCCAGCAAACATGAGATTAAAACTCACTGTAGCAGAAAGGAAAAACCAATACCAACCATGATTTACTTAAATGAGGTGGCCCTTGATTGCATCTGTGAGATGTTGGATAGCGCTGTAGCACTATTGTGAGTGCAGCTGATTCCAACTGAGATATAGTTTAGTATGAAACAAATGGCAACAGAGATTAGGCACTATTCCCTCATAAATATGCAGTTCTCCAAACCACAATTAAACACAAATGCACCATCCTCACACATGTCCTGGGAGGAGAAGACAGATTTTAGTATATAGGATGCTCCATTGAGCAGAAACTCCTAAAAACATCATGTTCTTTATTGCAGTAGCACGGCAGCCCAGATGGAGTGTTGCACTATTTCACCATCTACAGAGATCACAACTTTTTACATCACCCCAGTAATATTTTTTTTTTGCCACAACTACCCTGGCACTGCCGAGATGGTGGCAGGCTCTGACTCACGGGGATGAACACACTCTGGACCTGCTATTTGAACCAGGGGCTCAGATCCAAACAAGGGATGGCTATTACTTCTCTGTTATAACCTGACCATTTTCCCCTCTGGTTGGGATCCAGCTGCATCCATCTTGATGGTGGAAGCAATTTATGAAGACACGCTCATTTTCAGAAGCCAATCTCTACTAGCAAGTTGCTGAGGTGGATGTTCTGATGGGTGATTCCATTAAGAGCTTGGCAGGATTATGTTTTGATTTTTAATACCCAGCTGTTTTATCTTCCCTAAATACTGTCTACCACCTTTGTCTTCAGAGGTCAACAAGGTTTGCAGATGACCTGTGACACACCGAGCGAAAAGGGAGTTTGCTAGAGCACAGATAGCAAAGGGCTAACCCTACCCAGTCCAACCCAAGGCAACACAGAAGCAAAGAAAACTGTTTTCATCATAGCACAACTACTCTGCATGGTTGGCATGGGCAGAATTGTACACAACAGGCTAAATTTTAACTGCTAAAAGCTATACATTACACTGGAACTCAATAAAGCAGTGGGACAAAAACAAGACAGAGACCTGTTCACTGACTGCCAGCAAGGGGGGCAGAACTTACACAAGCAGTGTGCATACTATATGTACAACACAAATGTAATTTTTGGGTGTTAGATCTAGGGCTGCTCCTGGGTGCCCTGGCAGTCGTCATAGCCAACGGAGTGCCTTTCTATCCATGTCCAGCAAGATGCATGAAAGTCTGTGCTGATGCATAATTAGCCGTAACACTGCCACCTCAAGGTTAGATTGCTACAATGATTTTTCCTTGGGACCATTTCAAAGGTGAAGCTACTACAGAAGGCTGCAATTCCCTTGTCACAAATGTGCACATCAGGCCAGTACTTCTATATGCATGGTCTTTCGATGGCACTTCCAGTATTTAAGATGCACTTATACAAAGTGATTTGAGATTAGTTACCCCAGATACCTGTCAGGGTAGGGAGGCTGCTGGAAAGGCATTCTTTAAGAGTGAGTTACCAGGGTCTAGATTTCTCCAGGACGGGGACAGCGAGTGCTGAAATTTTTCAAACACATTCTCACTGAATACTGTTCCTGCTATGATTATTACTGCTTTAGCTCCATTCATCATTTCTCAGACCTACCTGAGATTCACAGATCCTCTGTTCACATTTTTTCCAGGGTAGTAATTGGAGTAAAAAGGACAATCCTTATAACAAGCCTTCTTCGTTAGACACTTCTTGTAATTACATTTTCTTAATTTCTACTTCTCTGGACAGTGGTCAAGTCTGCTACTGCTCTTATTCAAACGACTTGCACTTTAGTTAAGTTGAATCCACTATCAAATACTCAACAAATATCCAGGAGCATCATATTGTTTCTATATCATGAACTAGTTTGGTATTTCTGTTAAAATGTGATTCTCAAAATGGTGCTCTGTGGACTATCAAGAAAGGTCCATATAGCCACAGAGACTTTTGTATGAATCCCAATCTCCTTCCTACAGACTGTCCAATGATCATGCAGTTGCTGAAGAGCTATTTGGGAAGGGTATTGTGATTAGTGTTATTTGAAGCTCTGCTGTTACTGGTGAAGAAACAGATGCACTAATTTCATTCTCAAATGAAAAAGAAATGAAACTTGATCAAAAATATTTTTTTTCCAAAACAAAATACACAAAAAAAATCCACATAAAGACAAATTCTACATCGGTTGTTACAGAGAGTAACTGGCTGCTTGAGAGTCTAAACCTTTTCTGCAATTCTTGACCTGGGAACACATGGGTAAGTTCCTTTTGTGCTAAAAGAAATAACTACACAGACCCAGGACCTAATTTCCAAATGGATTTGCAGTCACAAGAATTCCTGACTGGCTTGGCAGTAAGAGGCTCTGTAGACATAAGCACTGGGGCAAAAAGGGAGAAGGGGATCTGTGAAAAAGTGAAGAGAATAGGTGCCTCTTCTAAGTGGGCCATGAGGAGGGAAGGGGAAAGGTGATGCCCTTAAAGTGGCTTCTGGCTCAGTCCTTTCAGTGTCTACTGCTACAGACTACAAAGATATCTTGGTCCCAGAAACAACACCACCACAAACGCACCTATGATCTCATTGTTCTCTTATCCTGGCAGCTTGCAATCTTCCTTACATGCTAGCAGCCTGTTGTGTGGGCACCCCAGGTGTAGCTTGACGAGGCAAAGTATACATTGCCCCAAGAAACTGGTCTGCAATGCGACCTGCCTCTCTCAGTCCACTCAGAAGAGCGCCATGGACAGTTGCAGGGTAGTTACGAATGGTGTGTTCTCCTGCAAAGAACAGGCGAGGAATTGGCTAGGAAGAAAAAAGAAAACACGTTGTGTTAAAATTTGTACAGGTTTTTCCAGAAATACTTTTTTTTCCCCTGCAGAACCACATTAAAACAAACATCTCTATATAGCTAGAGGCTGTTTTAGGCACAATTTATTATCTCTACCTATCAGAAGTTTTAAGCTTTCCTGCAACAAATACCATTTCCCCAAAGAGAAATCCTCATGCATCTCCAAACCCACAAACTCTCTCAAAATGTCTCTCTCAGTATGGGAAAACTTTCTTGCTAGTTCAAGATAGCTGGGCAAGAGTTCAAAGAGAAAGATTATTACTGAAAGCTTTTAGAGCCAAAAATTGGGCAGGAGAGGGAACAGAGAATGCCATTTTGAAAAGCTGTTTGAACATTTCTATAATATCATAAATCAGGGGTAGGCAACCACCAGCCCGGGTGCCAGAGCATGGCACGCAAAGGCATTTTGTTTGGCACATGCACCTCGACACGGACAGCAGGGAAGGTGCTAGGGCTGTGCTGCCACAACAAGGATCAGCCCCTTTGCAGCTCCCCCAACATGCACCCCTGACCCGCCAACATCTCACAAGTTGAGGTTGCGGGTGTTTTTGGCAGTCTGTCCAAAAATGTTGCTGACCCCTAACATAAATAGCATTTTTCCCCCCATTCAGGTTAGGTCCATAGGAGAGTATTTTCAAACAACATTACTGCATATGCTTCCTGACTGTACAGATATGACCACAGAAACAAATAACAGACCTAATCTTCTGTTGCAAAGAACTCAGAAACAACAAAACAGGTAAGAATGTTTTTGACACTATGACTTCCCATTTGAAATGCATATTGTCAGCACATTTAACAGTGCTAATATTGAGCAGTACCCTTAAAAGGATCTCATAGCACCTTGGTTGAGAATCAGTGCTTTACAGAATCAGTCAGAGACTTCTGTTTAAATGGAAGATCTGGAAACAAATCCTGTTTTATACTGTAATAGTGTTAACAGAATCAAACAGCAAAATATTTTGACGGTATAGTTCCAAGTCAAAAAAGGAGGTTTATGCAGTTTTGCTGAAGTCTGCAACAGAATCAATTATTGAAACAAATCAATTCCAATCATTTCACTAAGATATTTCATTTAGACTTGTATTTACTATATATAAAAATACAGTAAAATGCTAAACATATTTTTACGTTATCAAAATGAAATATCTTGGCATTTCTGAGTCAAAGTCTCTTTCAAGAATAAAGTCTGAAATTTTCAATGTTTGTTGCAATTTGGTACAAAAAGATGTTTTTAGGTGCTGGGATTTCCTGTGGGACAAATTCCATTTTCCACCCAGTTCTAGGCATTATCTGGAGATAACGATTTAATACTCCCATTGCCCAAATACCTTTTAAAAAGCATAGTCTCTTAGAATCTCACGCAAGTCAATCCTTATACAATTTTTCCAGCCTCACCTGGGGAGCACCTGGAATGGCTGGACCAGGAGTAATTGGCTGAGCCATCAAATCATAATCATTTCCAGAAGATCCAGCTGCTACATAGGAATAGGACCCTCGGGCCCATGGGTCAGCACGCCAGCGGGACACCACAGTCTCTTTGGGCTGAAACAAGAAAAAGTTCCATTACAGATGACACTGAAATCACTTATGATACCAAATTTATGAACAGTAGATTACAAAGGGGGAAAAAAAAGCATGAGACCCCCTAAGAGTTGTTTATTTTCTCTACATTAAGAAATACTCACAAATAAAAAGAAATTAAATGGAAGGAAATGCAGTTCTTTGAAATATGTTGTTCATAAGTACACTCCACTATAGACAGGCATGAGCCCTAGTCTCTCTGTCATTTTGCAGGACTACCATTGCTTTGATAGGTGCATTCCATAAATTAATCTGATACAACAAGAGTTGGCACTCTTGGATTCCTTGGAGGCAAAGCATCATGACAACCATGCTGTAAGCACCACACTCAGACAGATAATGTTATCGTTTAATACAGACTGATGTTTTAAAAAAGCAAAGAAGGATATAGATAGGCATACTACCTGTGGGACAGCACTACTGCCAAATATGCCTTTTAGAATTGCCAGACAGCGCCCAACAATGACATCATCACTGATGTTTTCCATGATTCCAGCTGCTTCTCCAGCCACTAATGCTAAAAGAATGGGAGCTAAGGAGAAAAGAACAAGGCATCAATACTCAACATATTGGTAATATAATACAGCAGTATTGGGAAGGGGTAGTAGAGCGTTAATTCAGTAATGTATATCACAAGGCCAATACTTCACTTGAAAAAAAGAAAAAAAGATTGAATGAAAATGAATGCTTTATGGACACTTCTCAGTTGGGGCAGTTTGCAGGATTAGATTACTAAAATCATCATGTATTATCTGTTCACTAGGAATGATCAAATAGGGATGTTTCTATTAGGATTTCACAAGGAACAGCATTAGGCTGGAAAATATTTGGTAAAATTTGAGGATGACAGATAGACAAAGCAATCCGTAATTACTTGGTAAGCTAGGTCCAAAAGTCTTTTATTAAGTCTTCTTCACAGTGGAGGACAGTTGTCTTCCGTGACTGCCTTATCTGTAGATCCAAACATGGCCGACAAGACCAATCCAGGACCGGCAGACTCTGCTGCAGCTCAAGCACGTGTTTCTGTGCCGGGTGGTGGCTCTGGATTCTCATTTTGGTCTGCAACATGCTGTTTCTGCCGCTCCCGCTTTTCTGTTTCCTGTTGTCATCATAAGGTTTCAAAGCACTGAGATCCTTGCAGCAGATTCTTCCTCCATTTGGGGCAGTCCTGGGTGATAGTCTCCCATGATTTTATCAATGTTGCATTTTTTCAAGCTGGCCTTAAGGACATCCTTGAAGTGCTTTCTCTGCCCCTCCTCTGGAGCATGTGCCTTGACTGAGCTTGGAGAATAAAACTTACTCCAGACTTCTGAAGCCAGACATCCAGATGATGTGGCCAGTGCTGCAAAGTTCATGTTGGATGATCATTGGCTCGATGCTCGTGGCGTTCATTTGTGAGAGGATGCTAATGTTGGTGCATCTGTCTTCCCATTTGATTTGAAGGATCGTTCACAGGCAGCGTTGATGGCACTTCAACAACTTCAGGTGTCTCCTATATGTTATCCACGTCTCAGCTCCACACAGTAAAGCAGGGATCACAACTGCTTGATAAACCATGATCTTGGTTTCACATCAGATGTCGTGATCTTTCAACACCTGTTTCCTCAGGTGTCTGAAGGCTGCACTTGCACATTTGAGGCAATGCTGGATTTTGGCATCATTACAATGACGAGAGACAGCTTCCATGAGAAATGGCTTCTCCTGAGGTACAGGAAATACGGAACACTCTCAAGAATCTCACTGTGAATCTGAATTATAGGAGCTGGGGATTGCTCATTAAGAGCTTGTTGGTGGAGGACCTTAGTTTTCTGAATGCTAAGCACAAGTCCCATTTTCTTGTAGGCCTCAGTAAAGATGCTGACAATTGTGTGAAGGTCTGCTTCCAAGTGATAACACATCACAGCATCATCAGTGTACTGGAGCTCAATTTTATTAGTACAGTCAAATACAAAATGTAGAACTGTGTCCTAAAAAGAAGCGACTCCAAAACTAACGGTCATAGAGAAAAAGCAATTCAACAGCTAAGCTTCTAGAGCAATGCTATGACAAGAAGAGCTAATGTGATCCTTTATGTATAAATGGAAATATTGGGAAGGATTACAGCAGTGATTCAACCTCTATCAGTTTCACTAAAGCTATGCAAAATATGTCCTGTTCTGGTGTCTAGATTTAAAAGAAGGAAGGAGTTGGTTAACCTGTATTCTATATCCAGCTCTGTTCCTGACTTGTGACTGTTGGCAAGTCACTGCTCCTTTCTACTGTAGACTGCTCATTTATAACATGGAAATAGCAATCTTCTGTAATTTACAGAGAAGGAAGTAGCATTTATAAAGTGATCCTTTTGAGTTCTTCTACTGTATAGAAGTGAACATGATAAAACTTAACAGCCAACATAGTTACCTTTGTAGAGATTCCAGAAAAGGAAAAGTTCTCCTCTGCTGGCAGTAGTGCTGCCAACATGTCCAAACAAATTGACACTTGGATCCCAGAAGACACGGTCAAAACACAACACCACCTAGAAATAAGGTGAAGGCTCAAGCATTAGGAAGACTCATAACAGAATGCAAATATCCTCTACACAAATTTCAGCAGAGAATTTAAAACTCAGCTTTTACAAAATACTTTGTATACACTGCATGTCATATGGAAGCACCCCAAGGCAGTCTGAAAATTCACTACATAGAAAGGTTAGTTCATCCACTGCTAAAACATGGCAATTGTAGAACAGTCCACCACCACCACACACTAGCTGGGATGAGGTATGGAGAGCTCCTTATTTCAGTTCTTTGTTCAAATAGCTCTTTGCATATTTCTCAGAGTAAGGACCTAGGACGAAAAGGAAATGGAAGCAGACTGTTTCTCCCTAATGCAACACATTTCAGAACCTGTTTATTGTACTCTTGCATTTCCTCCTTCTGTGCCAAGTCACCTTGTTCAGGTTGCCAAATCCCATCCTCTGCACTGCAGACGTTTTCCACTCAGGAAGAGGAGGCACAAACTGTACAGCAGGTGGCTGTTGTTTCAGCACTCCCAAGGGAAGAGTGCACAGGACAGCATCACATTTATAAATAAAAGTCTGACTAGTAGAGCGGGTGTTCACAGCTATCACTTCACATCCTGGAAAAGGAGAGGGAAAAATAGAGGTTCATTCACTTACTAGTCCTGTGAGAGAAACAGTGTATGATCTTGCAATGAAAAAAAACATAATGCAGACCCTTAACTGGAACCAGAACAGGCTGCATAGACAACATCAACTCCACCATTATTTTAACTTTTAAGTACTTGAATTCACAACATAACCTTATTGACCAAAATTAGAATACCTGTAATACCTTCCAGGACTGTGCCTACTGACACTATGCAAATAAATACTCTTAACGAAATTCTTTGCCCCAGAGTTTTGCCAGTCCAGGCAAACTTGTTTCATCTTATTAGAAAAGGTGACAGGAAGCCAAAGGAAACTGAAGGCAGGGAATAGCTTGCATAGCGCCATGACACAGGAAGATATTTCACTAACAACTTTTTGTGTTGGTTGGACAACGCAAAATGCAGGAGAACAGCATTAGCTTGCCAAAATATTCAGACAAGAAGCTTCCAAAATACTGGTATCCTGGTTTCCTTTAATCCTCTCCAATTAGCTTGCTTTCTGGTTGCCATCTCTTCCTATGAAAATGTTTTCATGGTAACTTATACTGAGCTCTGAAGAAATCACAAGATTCTTCTATTTTTTCTCCTTAATTAGTCATTTTTTGTATTATTGCAGCACTTATCAACTTCAGCCTTGGGTCAAGATTCCTTTGTGCTGGATGCTATACAAACACTGAATGATCCTGTCATGCTTTTTCTCCCAGATACATTGTGGTGCCATTCTATTTCCAAATACAAGCTTTGGAAAGAGAGCATTAAGGTTGTAATCAATCAGTAATTCAAGGTAAAATACATTGCAGAGATGGCTCAAAACCATGCATTTTAAATCCAAGAAAGTAAATTAAGCTTTAATTTTAAAAACCGTTCCGTTAAAGAATCCAAACAACCCCAATTTTAGAGTATAGCAACACCATGACATAACAAGATAAGCAAGTCATTTTAGTGTCTACAATCCCAAACTAAACTATACAGTTTTTTAATGACACATTAGACTGACTCTCTTCTTGTCCCATTGAGTCTAACATGTAGAACATAATGGGCCAACTTTACACTTGGTACACTGTGCTGCATCATCATGTCCTTTGCAACTGGTATTTGACACACAATCATTAATACCAGCCAAGAACACTGATGATGGCTTAAGGCTCACAAGGCAGAAATGGGTTAGATGAAGAGATCTTATTTCTAGTAGAAGAGTTGACAGGTACCAGTTTTTTGCAATCAACTAACACCTTCAAGCAGTAAAATGCAGGTGACTGTAGTTACCAGAAGGGCCACACTGATCAAAAGGGCAAACAGTCCACACAAAAAGGGAATCTCCTAAGAGCATGCCCAAAGAACCAGAGCAGGCCAAGGAGGAGTTTCATCAAGAGAATTTATCCATTTGGAAGATGATCCAAAAGCTACACACAGATGGGTTTTCACAGATCGTTTAATACAACTGCCATATCAAAGACTTTGAAACTACAGGATTCGCCCTCCCTCAAGGGACAGGATACTGATAAAGAGGGATTAGACGCTGTTCATCTTGACAAAGATGTAGCACTGATTCTGCACCTGTGCAAACTTTGGGGTCCTTTCCTCCATTACTTGTTCCATCAGTCCCAAAGGCACCCCAGATCCAGAGATACAGGAATAATGTCCTTGAAGCCTTTGGAGCACAAATAAGCATTTGTGCTAACCCTTTAACCTGGCTTCAAGGTTAGGATGTACAATGGTGAGATCATCAGATGATCTTACCAGGCATTGCTTTTCTGGGTGACTGTACTCAGTGCAAAAAGCACATGAAACCTGTTACCTAGCAACTGTCAGATGATAATGTTACTCCGTGGAGCAATTTCTGAGGTTAGGTTTCGTTTACCTGAAGCTGTGTAGCGAACCTGTCGAACTGCTGTGTTTAACTTAATGTCCAACCCTTCTGCTAAGGCTACAGGCACGCAAGAATATCCATTCCTCACAGTCAAATGACTGCCTGTGAATTCAAAGTCATCATCCTGAAATGAAAATATAAAAAGTAATTATAACTAAGTCATATCAAGCAATGAAGGGATAAATTAATGGGCACAGTAACCCGTTTGGAATAAATACCAGAACTTTTTCAGGTAAAAGTGATGTACCTAATTAATTACACGAACTGGTAAAATAATCAGTACGGACTATTTCCCTACAGCAAATAAAAAAATATTAACTACGTAAAGCCCACGTGTATATTAATAGAGCTGTATGATACACCATCAATCAAAATGTACAGACCTCTGTAATTCTCAAAAAAAATACTGGAAAAGAGAGTTGAAGGGATAAAGCTGAGGAGCATCATATTTAAAACTTAGAAATGACTGATATCACACAGAAATAGAATTTATGAATTGGCTACCTGGTCCCAGTGCTTCAGTGACAGTGTAGACAGAGGGGTCGCATTAGCAAATTCTAGATTAGCAAAGTGCCAGTCAAGTATCTGTCTGTCCCTTGAGGATAGATACACGTCACTAGAAAACAAATAGTAAGAGAAAGTTTTACTTTGTAGCGACTGAAATTCTGCAAACATTTTTCTCTCAAAGGATGCAGGTGGATCCTACTTCCAACAATCCTGACCTTCTACCTGAAAACAGCACTTCTGGAAATAAGTATGGTGAAACAAGGATGAATATCAAGCTATTTAACCAATGTAAGAGTAGACAAAAAATATAATACATCTTCAGTTAAAACTGCAGCCACAGCAGACTTTCCCTCTGTGATAAATAGTTACACACATTACTTTAATTCCGGGCTAGGAACAACAGCCAAACTAACTTTTGTACACACTAAAACATTAGAAAGATGCACAGGGTCTTGAACCATTTTTAAATTGTACATCTGATAAGGGTGCGTAGTTGTCGATAATGCATTTTTAAAAGAAAGAACAGGGTACATTGATCCAAACATTTTCGGAACTATTTGTCTACAAAATGTTTTCAAACTAAAGCTATAAACTTCTTTGTATTCCCAGGCAAAATACATGGAAATGGAGGAAAAGATAGAGACTATAAATCATATTTACCTGAAATTACTAACACAGGGATACTGCAATTACTCAAACTAAGAACTGGAAGTACAGATAATGTTCATATTTAAATCTAAGCTAAAATTCAAACCTGTTGAGGGAAAGCATGCATATTTTCAGAACCCTAATAACCTGGATCATGTCCTATAACAACAGCATATCATTTCCACACAATTAAAACTTGCAACGTTTTAGTGTTCCTGGTCCTGATTTGTGTTTTATTCCTTTCTGTTGCACCATTAAGGGGCAGGTCTGCCTCCTTCTAACTTCCTTCGCATCCCGATTATTCCTTCTCTCCTCTTTACAGAGCAGATCCGGAACAACATAAAAGTTTTGAGATTAATGGCAAAAAGAAATTGTTCACAATTGGAAGTTTTTGCCTAAAATCTTAAGAATACAAGCTTTTAGAACAGTTCTCAGGTGCACACCATTCACTCATATTCAGCTTATGGTCCACTGTGACCCCCAGGTCCTTCTGCAGTACTGCAGCCTAGCCAATCTACCAATACATTCTGTATCTGTGCGTGCAAACATATATGCTTCTCCAAACACATACTTATGACCTTAGTCCTATAAAGAACAACAAGAGAGGTCTTCTATTTAAAGAAGAGTTGCAATTCCATTCAGACTGCACTCAATATTTTTCAGCTTCTATAGGAGAAAATTAAGTTATTTTAGTCCATTTTACTTATCTGCAGTGATATAAAAAGTCTTCATATACAAAATACATATGAGATATGAAACAGTTTTAATTCAGGACCATAGAAGGTAAGATCCAGATGCTCAAAGGTTTTTAGGTGCCTGCCATTGCTGAAGACTTATGTACATGAACAGCAACTTTAAGGAGCTGAGCCTAAGTTGTTTTATTTCTCTGTCTGTTCAGCACTTCAAAATGTGATCATAAACAGGAAATCATCATTGAGCAGATGCACTAGATGGGCTCAGTAGGGATTGGCTCTTGGTCCTATACTATTTAAACAACCCAAAGAAAACTTAATTAAAACTACAGATAAAGTTTGCAAATGACAAAAGACTAGAGAAGTAGAAAAGAATGGGTAACTGATGCAAGAGCAATCCAAACCAGTGGGTAAATTAGACCCATATCACATACTGTTTGCTTAATATGGCCCAAAGTAGTAGTAATATATAATCTACAAAGAATAAAGGCCATGTTTACCATGTGGGTGATTATCCTAGGAAATAGTGATAGTGGAAGGAAAAGGAGATAGAGATGCAGGTTCACAGTGGATAATCAAAAGGCATGCATGAAAAAGATATCAAGTAGGATGAATGTGGTTATATTACATATGCACCTTGGACTTGTGACTGCTGCTGGATACTACATCCAGCTTTTATACACAATTCAAGGGGCACTTCTATAATTTGTAGTGTTTTAGAAGAAAAACTGAGGAATCTGTACGGCATGATGCCAAAAAACATCCACATGTACCAATATTTGGGAATTTTCATTAATGGGTATTTCAAGGATTTTTATTCAAAGGTTTAAGTCAGACCACTAGTTACAGCTGGGGTAGCCATATCAATAGGACACCCCCCTAGAGAAAAGCTTCTAATGTTTTATAAGTCACTGGTAAAACTGGAGAACACTGATTTTCTGAAACTGAGGACACTCAACCATCATGCAACTGCATCCAGCTAACAAAGTATAATACAAGACCACTAAATATTATTTCTGCAAAAAAGGTGTAACCTAAATGAAAGTTACTGTCTTTCCTGAATCGTCTCACTCTAGTAAACCCAAAATTACCCATCCCCCCACCAGCTGAATTTTTGTTTTTACCTTGGTGGATTAGCCTCAAGTTCTTGGAGTTTCTCTTCCAGCTTGCCCTGCGTTTCAGCTAATTCATCATACTCCTAAAAAAAATTAAGCAGATTCAGAGCAGATATTAGTCACGATTTTTTCTTCCAAGTATGATAACAAGCAATAACTGAAGTTTATACTGTAAACTTGTTGCATTACAAAAGGTCACTTTTGCAATAGCTCAGTGACAGAGGTATGTTCTGGATGCATTATCCCACGCATAAAACTGAACCAACCCCCCCCCCACTATATTTTAAAGTAATATAAAAACATTTAAAAACTCCCAAGTTGGGAAAATTAAATTTATTAAAATTTTATATTATAGTACTGCCTGTTATTACTTATAATATAGGACCTTTAAACATTGATCAGAATAAGGTTCGAGCCAATTCCTAATGAAGCCAGCAGAAAGACTAAAAGGCATCTTTCACATCTGCAATACCCATTTATGCAGCAGAACACAGACCAATATAGAAATGTTTACATTCCTGGAATGTTAGCATATCAAACAATCAAAAAAAACCCAAAACGCATAAAAATCAGAGAATGTCAGGGATTCTCTTTCAGACTTTGTGGAGTGAGATAGTATATGGTTCTCCTAGCTATTGGAACTGGACAATTTTGCATGGGAAGTACTTTAACCAAATAATATAGTGCTAGCCTCCTAGCATACTAGTAAACAGTCTCTGTTGGAGAACCTGTAGAATCATAAAACAAAGAGCCAGAAGGACTCAAGTGATTAGATATGAGAAGCAGATGACTTCAGGAGCCTTTGGATTCTGCCAAGGAACAGAACTGGGTCTAGGAATCAAGGCAACCAACCCAAGCAGGTAGCACCAAAAGCACTATCAAAAGAAACTACTCATCCAACTGAAGAAGCAAAGTTGCCATAAACAGAGCTCTGTTTGGGGCAGATGATGTCTTCATAACCACAAGTTTCATATATGTTGTTCAATTACAGACATTTTGGCCTCACAGGATAGGCACTTCTCCATAAAACCATACTTTTTCCAGAAAATCATCTCATCATCTAGTAGTACGATCCAGTGCCAAAGCTGAACTGTAATCTAAACTAAGAATGGCATTTTGTGCCCCAAAGCCTATCTGATACCTCTCTCTTCCCAACTATCCAGCTGGTCTAAGAAAAGATATCACAAAAAGCTCTTAGCTCAATGCTTTGCTATTAGGGCTGTGCAAAGCTTCAGTTGCTGATTCGATTTGGAGGACATTCAGCAGCCAAATCTCCAAATCAAATCAGGAGACCCATTAATCTCTCTGAATCGAATTGGAAGCCTCTGAATAGACTTGGAGAGTCAACAATTCGGCTATAGACACAGCTTGACATGTTTTTTTCCCCATGTACCTCGAGGTACCAGGCGTGGCTTGTGAAGGGCGAGATGCTGGGGTGGACGGAGCGTCCCACGGGAGCGTGGGGAGTCCTCCACATGCTCAGCAGTGGACCTGGAAGTAGACCCAAAGCACTTCCAGGTCCGCCAGAGTGTGTGGAGGACCCCACACACCCCCGGCTCGGCGACTGGTGCCCCCTGGGTCTAGGAGGGACTTGGGTGTCCCCCTGTGGGTGACTGCTGAGCTGGGGGGGTCCACTACCAAACATGCAGGGGCCCCCCCCACTCCCATGAGACGCTCCATCTGCCCCAGCACCACAGTGTTCACAAGCTGTGCCTGGTACCTTGAGATACGTAGAAAAAACATATAAAGCTGTGTCTATGCCCAATTCGCTGATTCTCCAAATCAGAATTGAAGCTTCAGATTCGGCTGAATCAAACTGGGACTGATCCGAATCAGCAAATCGAATCATTGCCCCCTGAATCGGGTCGAATCCAAATCAAATACTGCCCGCTTTGCACACCCCTATTTACTATGTCCGTCCCCACAGCCTGAAATTCCAGATCCTGAAGTGAGATGGTGCCCGTTAGGGCTGTGTGAAGCTTCGGTCCCTGATTCAACTCAGTGGAGATCTGGCCTAATTTGGTGGCTGAATCTCCGAATCCGAATCAGAGGACCCTTTAATCTCTCCAAATCAAACTGGATCCCTCCGAATTGCTTTGGAGAGATTTGGAAAGATTCGGACATAGAGACAGCTTTAAATGCTTTTTCTACATACCTCTAGGTAGCAGGGGATTGTGAATGCTGCACTGCTGGGGCACATGGAGTGTCCTACAGAAGCGTGGGGGGCTCCCCAGCGTGCTTGGCAGCAGACTTGGAAGCAGACCAGAAGCACTTCCAGTCCACTTCCAGGTCCACCAGGGAGCATGCTGGGGGGTGCCCCGTGCCCAGCTTGGTGACTGGTGCCTCCTGGGTCAGGGGGGAACACCTGGGGTCCCCCGTGCCTGATTGCCGAGCTGGGGAGGCAGAGGGGGGCCCCTAGCATACTCCCTGGCAGACCCAGAAGTGGACTGGAAGTACTTCTGGTCCGCTTCTGGGTTCACCGCTGAGCATGTGGAGCCCCCCCCACACTCCTGTGGGATGCTCCATGCGCCCCAGCATCACAGCAATCACAAGCTGTGCCTGCTACCTCAGGGTGTGTAGAGAAAACATTTAAACTGTGCCTATGTCCAAATTGCTGCTATGTCTGAATCAGCATCAAATCTTCAGATTCGGATTTGGCTGAACCGAATCAGGGACAGTGATCCCAATCAATGAATCTAATCGGTCTCTGATTTGGGCCAAATCCCAATCCCAATCAAATAGGGCCTGCCTCACACACCCCTAGTGCCGAGGCTCTTCTATTACTACTTTACAGAAGGCTCTAACCCACCATCACCACAGGCATGCATATTTCAAAGCATAATTTGAAAAAAAAACCCAAAAAAACAGTTGCTTGTTCAGCTTGTAGGGAGAAATAGTTTGTGGGCAGAAAGCTGTTTAGTTCTGGCATCTTGTACCTTGCAAAGTGCAGTCAGATCTCTGTGCTTGCTCTTCACAAGGAACTCCGCAGTAATATCCCGAGGTGGTTTTACTTCAGATGCCTCCTTGTACTGTTGATGGAGCTCTCTAATCTTTTCTTTTAAATTCACCATCTAAAGTTGGGCAGGGGAAGGGGGAAAATCTTTCATGTCATTTAATGTACAAATGAAAATTCACTTCATACCAGCTGCATCTCAGGATATTGCTGACACTTCCTTTCTGTTAAAGAAGATACGATATCTTTACTCCATTGAAATCCCACTTGAACAGGGGCAGGCAAAATACAGCCCATAGGCCAGATCTGGCCTGCCAGGCACTTTCATCCAGCCCCGTGGTGCCCCCCCAATGAACTGCCTCCCACCCAGCCCTTCTGCCCACGAGCATGGGAGATGGGAGCAAGACACCCATGCATATACCCCCCCCAACATACCCTACTGTGCCTCATTCCCAGCTTCATGGGAGGAAGAGCCTCCACTCACTGCGATGTGCAGCACTGGCCAAAGCCACACACTGCTGGGCACCAGTGCCGGGCATGAGCACCCTGAGTGCCCCCACCTGCTGCTGTGCCACAGGGGGGCCTGCAGGGGTCCCCACACCCCTCCCCCCTCCCCCACACCCCATAAACGCACACCCTGCCCCC